TTCCGAGGACCTGGGTTCAATTTTCCAGCACCTACATGTTGGCTCACAACTGTCTGTGACTGTAGTTGCAGGGAATCCTATGCCACCTTCTGGTGTCTGAAGTATGGCACAGACACACATACATTCAGGCAAGCATAACACATGGTTTGACCCCCATAGGCTCATATATTCAAGGTGTGGCCTTGTTGGAATTGTGTTCCTGGGATGGGCTCTGAGGTTTCAAAGCCCACACCATTCCCCCTGTCTGCTCTCTGTCTGCTTCCATTTGTGGGATGCCTTTAACCCTAGCACTTTGGAGACAGAGGCAGGCAGATCTCTGAGTTCAAGGCCAGCCTGGTCTACAGAGTGAGCGCCAGGACAGCCAGTGCTATACAGAGAAACTCTGTCTCAAAAAACAAATAAATTGGGGGCTGGAGAGATGGCTCAGTGGTTAAGAGCATTGCCTGCTCTTCCAAAGGTCCTGAGTTCAATTCCCAGCAATCACATGGTGGCTCACAACCATCTGTAATGAGGTCTGGTGCCCTCTTCTGTCCTTCAGGCATACATGCAGAAAGAATATTGTATACATAATAAATAAATAAATATTTTTAAAAAATACAAATAAATTGCCTTGGCCTGGGCAGTAGTAGCGCATGCCTTTAATCCTTGCACTGGGGAGACAGTGGCAGGCGGATCTCTGAGTTTGAGGCCAACCTAGTCTACAGAAGGAGTTCTAGGATAGCCAGGGCTAAAGAAAAAAAGGTTTCCCATATATATGCCTACAAGCCAACCCAAAGTAGACAGTCCCTCATTGAGACTTCCCTGGTGATTCTAAATTGTGTCAAAAATTTTTTTAGGTTTTTTTTTTTTTTTAATGTATGTTTCACCTTCATGTATGTACGTGCACCACATCCTCTGGTGCCTGTGGAGCCAGAAGAGGGCATTGGGTCCCCTGGAACTGGAGTTACAAATGGTTGTGAGCCACCATGTGGGTGTTGGGAACAGAGTCATGTCCTCTGGAAGAACAGCAAATGGTTTTAATCACTGAGCCATCTCTCCAGCCCTAACAGGAGGAACGGCACTTCTGGGACTTGGAGATCCAAGCCTGGCTCTGCAGGACCAGGGCCTTGGCTGCTTCCCAAGGCAGCACAGAAGGAGGTTATGTAGAAACTGCTTTCCCTCCTGGCCCAAGAACCAAGCAGACTCTTTCTTTTTCCCCTTTGGAACTTAATTTCTGTTTACTCTCTGGCGTCCTCCACTAAAGGAGCTGTAATTACCATATATTAGCATGTATTTCCATAAAGAGAACACTCTTAGAAATCAGCCTGGAGGGAGTCCAGAGAGGCCCTTTTCAGCTTCCTCGTTCCATACACTGTAGTAAATGTTTACTGAAAGCCAAGCAAGTGTTCAACCCTGAATTCCAGAGCCAGTGAGAGGCTGGGGTATGGTGGAGACCGGATGCTGGGGGCTTCGAGGGCCTCTCAAGGGGATCTTTCACCATGGAATGTGGACTGGAAGGAGGTTAGGAGAAGGCCCTGGCAGTGATGCCCCCAGAGGGGTCAGCGTCCTGACTTAGGGGCAGGGCAATTGGGGGAGTCCAGGGACAGAGGCACTGGGGAGGCTGGGGAGGACAAGAGTCCAGAATGATATAAAGTGGGTCTCACAGGGACTGGAGAGACGGCTCAGTGGCTGTGAGCAGTTGCTGCCCTTATAGAGGCTGGCGTTTGAGTCCTCGCACCACATCAGGCAGCTCACAACCAGCCACCTGCAACTCCGGCTCCAGGGATCCAACTTCCTCTTCAGGCACCCTCACACATGCGCATGAGAGAGGGAGAGAACACACACAAAATTAAAAATAAATCCAAGGCTGGAGAGATGGCTCAGTGGTTAAGAGCACTGACTGTTCTTCCAGAAGTCCTGAGTTCAGTTCCTAGCAACCACCTGGTGACTCACAGCCATCTATAATGGGATTTGATGTCCTCTTCTGACATACAGGTTTACATGCAGATAGAGCACCATATGCATAAAATTAAAAAAAATTTAAAGCTGGGCGGTGGTGGCACACACCTTTAATCCCAGCACTTGGGAGGCAGAGGCAGGTGGATCTCTGTGACAGAGTGAGTTCAGGACAGCCAGGACTGTTACACAGAGAAACCTTGTCTTAAAAAAAAAAATAGGCGAGCCGGGCGGTGGTGGCGCAGGCCTTTAATCCCAGCACTCGGGAGGCAGAGGCAGGCGGATCTCTGTGAGTTCGAGACCAGCCTGGTCTACAAGAGCTAGTTCCAGGACAGGCTCCAAAACCACAGAGAAACCCTGTCTCGAAAAACCAAAAAAAAAAAAATAGGCGAGAACAATAACGATCTTAGGGGTGATTTATTTGGTAGAATGCCTACTTGAAGCCCGGGGTTCCATCAGTGGTGGCAGGGCACGCCTATATGCCTGACCCTTGAGAAGTAGAAGGGTAGAAGGTGAGGCATTCAAAATCAAATACTTTAACTACATAGCAAGTTTGAGGCTAGCCTGGGCTACATGAGAGAGCCTGTCTCAAAAAACAAAAACCCCAAGTGATACCACTGAGATACCTTCTCATTCTGAAGGACCTGCTGGGGAGAAGGCTGGACCGTCTCTAACCAGGAGGGAAGGCAGAAGGATGGGTCTTAGGAAGACCCAGGAAGGGGGTTGGTGGGACTGTAAAGTGAGTAAGAAAGGTCAGAGTAGGTAGTATGATTTGCTGCCCCCCCCCCCGCCATCTAAGCAGTCTAACCTCCCAAATCCTAATAGCGTTATGAGGGCGGGAACTTAACTACCTGTGTTCAGGGGTGGGGCCTTTGGGAAGTGATTGGGTCATTAGTGTGGGGTCACTGCAGTTGAACCCTGGTGGCTTTATGAGGAGAAGAGAGACCACCGTGTGGTGTGATGGGTACACACCTCTACCACATGAGGCAGTCCAGGGGGCTCCCACCATGCTGCTAGAGCCTCTGTCTCCACAAGTGTAAACCGGAATAAACAGCTTGTCTTTATAATGTAGCCCCAGGCGTTTTCCTAAAATGCAGAAGTCTGACCACTATATTAGGATGTTTGGTAGTAAATTTTTCCAGTAGACTGTGATAGTGGGACACATCAGGTAGGCTATGAGTGCAGGGGACAGAGAGAGGGGCCAGTGCTGGTCACACAAACGCTGAGACCATGCTGTGTGACAAGACCTAGGATTCATAGAAAAGCAAGGAACAGGATTCATTGATTGAGAGAGAATATGCTGTATACCTTCATTGTATGTGTCCAAGAATCGGTGTTCAAAGACAGGCTGGCTAAGGCTTTAGAAAAAGTATAGGAGCCAGCAGGATGACTCAGTGGGTAAACAGCACTAGCTGACAAGCCTGACCCCTGAGTTCAAATGTAAAAGGAGAGAACTGATTCCCACAGCTGTCCTCTGACCTCCACGTGTGCCTCATGGCGCACACCACCACCCCTAAATAAACAAAATGTAATTAAATTTTTTTTTTAAGTAAAGGAAGTAACTTGCCAAGACAAACCGACAGTTTGCAGACAGCCCAGATAGCAATGCAACGCCCTGAGAAGAGCCCCTGCATCCGGACCTGAACCCTCTTCCTTCTGTGTAACCTCCATCAGCTCCCCGGGGACCCTGAAATGGGGAACCCTTCAACTGCCAGGGGCTGGGCTCTCCTTTCATAATGACAGCGTGGCTTCCTTCATTCGGTGGACAAAGTAAACCAAACAACTTTAAGGGCTGTTGCCCGTGTTTGGTTAGCAGAATGGCTCCTAGGAGGACTGGTAATTACAGCGCTTACATTTCAGTTTTGCCCAGGCATGCCAGATGATTGTGTTGGCGGTGGAGGAGCCCTGCTGCCTGGCACTGAAAAGCCCTACTCCAAAGCCAGGGTTCCCAACAACCACAATGAGCAAAAACCCCTTGTCAAAAGAATGTCATCCATGATGCAATGGCTGGAGCTTACCATATGTCTCCTTCCTGTTTTCATTTGCTCCAACTTCAGGTCTGCAAGTCGCCTGGCAGTTGCCTTGAGAAAAACAAGCGGAGCTGGGGCAGTAGCAGAGGGCATGCGGTGGCGTGCCACCAGGAGGGAGGCATCGGTTTTCCCGTCCTAAGTGCCTGGGCTCAGGGACTCGAGTTGGAAACTGATGTCAACAACCTCTCAACTCTCTCAGTAGTCAGGAAACTTGGACATGAGTGGAATTTTTCGTTCCTCTGGGTAAATGTGTCACAGTCCAGTGCTATTGCGGCAGATGGAAAAGTCCTATGTAGAGCGCGCAGCAGCAGCCTACCAGGCAAATAGGAAGCACTCTGAGGGGCCACGGAGCACCCACTGCGGCGCTGATGCGATCTCTTCTTGTTTCTCAGTTACCTACTGTGCACTTCCTGCTGAGACCGTTTCTGTTTGAGTTTCTCGGTTGTAAAACCCCAGACTTCACCAGCAAAGGGGGGGTGGGGGGGGGTGGGAGGGAGGGGAGCTGCAGCAGGGCGTGGAAGGGCGTGCCCTACCGCAGCATCCAAACGACCCTTCTCTACCATCCACACAGTGCCTGCCTGAGCTTAGAATAGTGCATGTGCCTTCCAGGGATACTGTATGGTTCTCACGGTCTTGCTGGAACCCAGAGCCACAGGGGTGACCACAGTAGCTCTCTGTGCATGGTGTCACTGCACAACCTGGATAAACCAGGATGTCGCCGAGCTGAGCCTTCGTTGCACCCCTCTTGCCACTCTGCAGTGCTCTCGCCCTGTCCCCACCTCTCCATGCTGCCAACAACAGATGCTGGGCATCCCCTAGTGATACTCTGCTAGGAGTGGCGCTCTCCCACGCTCAGATCCACCCACCTGGGTCCCACGGGGATGATTGCTGGGGCGAGGACCCCATAGATCTTGGACGAGAGGTAGGTCCCCACCCAGTTCTCAGGTCACATGGTCCGCGGCGGGACCCACGGATCGGTCACATGACGGCGGCGGCGCAACGTTGCCTAGGCAGCGGCTGCGGGCGGAAAGAGGGAGGGGGGCCAATCCTCCGCCCTGGCCTGGCCACGGGGCCAGCCGGCCTGCGGAGACTCAGACGCCAGCCACAAGCGGGAGCTGGGAGCTGGAGCCAAGTACTGAGGGCTGGGGAGCCAGGGTAAGTGCTTGGGGTGAGGGTGGGAACGTTCATCCTTTTGTCTCGGAAGGGTCTGAAGAGGACAGGAGTATGTTCCCTCCCAGCTAGGGGGCGCGGAGAGGAATTGGATTAGGGACACTGAACGTGGAGGAGACGGAGCTTCTTCGTGGGCAGGCATGGGATGGAGAGAAAGGGACAGAATGACCGAAGGGCAGAGTGGTGGCCCCGTGACCCCAATCCCTTGATACCCTTCGTAGGGTGCCATGTCAGAGGACTCAGAGCTTGGGGCTGCCAGCTGATTCCCAGTCCCTGCAGTTGCAGGGAATTCCCTAAAGTAAGGGACAGGAATGCAGGTGGCTGATTCTGGCTGGCCGCTGCACCTCTCCTGTGCGTGGGTGACAAGAGACATTTCCCGTGCCCCAGATATTTAGAGGAAGTTAAAACAAGCAGACTCCATAACCTGCTGCCTGGACTGCTTAAAACAAACCCGACAAGACAAGAGAACGGCTTATCTAGCAGTCTCGCTGGTTTATGTTTTTTTTTTCCCCTACAAGACCTCATCTTCTGCTCTTTATTTAAAAAAAAAAAAAAGGTTCAGTTTGCCTAGCAATTCTTAGAGCTGATGCTGTCTGACAGACGTGGGCTCCATCTTGTCTCAGCACTCCCCCTCCAGCCTGAGCATGGAGTGTGTAGTGGGCCAGACTCTGTTCCTCCCCCTGGGGCAGGGGTTGAACCAAGATAGGTCCTAGGAGTATAAGGAATAGGCTTGAGGAGGGGCTGATGGCAAATACCTATAAATCCAGTACTCGGGAGATGGAGCGGGACAGTCCCAAGTTCCAAGTCAGCCTGGACTACACAGCAAGACCCTGCCTCAGAACAAAACCAGCAGTAGAAAGGGGCCAGGTGGGGGCTGCAGATGTGGCTCAGTTAGCAGAATATTTGGCTAGCATGCAGGAAGCCCTGGGTCCAGTCCCCAGCACCATGTAAGCCAGGCATGTAATTGCAGCACTTGGAGCTGGGAGCATCCAGAGTTCAAGGCTATCCTTGGTTATGTTTTGGGTTGGTGGCCAACCTGGGCTACATAAGACCCTATCTCAGAAAGAAAAAAAAAAGGAAAGGAAAGGGAAAAGAAAGTAAAATGGATTTGAACCTCTGGACTAATCACAGTGGAGGGTGGCTCGTTGGACCTGCAGGCCTATCTCAAGACTCAGAGGCACGCAGCTCTTCATGCCCACCCCAACCACTCTGGGACTCTCTGCATAGCCTAGCTCAGCCACGCTCTCAGACTGGAGCCCCGGGGGCCTTCCTCATTTGTGGTTCCCCTGGGTAGCCATCTTCTTTATGTCATGAATCCTTTCCGTCCTTTGAGCCCCTGGAACTGGAGTCACAGATGGTGATGAACTGCTAAATGGTGCCGGGACTCGAACCTGGGTCCTCGGGAAGGGCAGCCAGTGCTCTTGATGGCTGAGCCAGCTCTCCAGCCCCTCCACAAGCCATCTCCCAACATGCTCCCAGGTCCTAGCATTGCTTGAGAAAGTCCACAATAGCCCTACTCTTGTGTCTGCACCTAGCTCCAGGCTGCTGCCCCAGGCCCCAAGAGTCTTCTGTCTCCTTGTCTTTCAACCAGTCTTCCTGCCCACCTTCTGGAGAAGGGTAGCATTCCTAAAGTTGACTTCATTTTCTTGCCTCTCAGAACCCTCCATGTGAGCAACATCTTGTCTTGGATTGAGGGCCAGCTTTTGTTTTTTGTTTGCTTGAGATTTTATTTTTGTTTTTGCTTATATATGTGTGTCTTGGGGGGGGGTATGTGCACATGAGTGCAGGTGCCTGTGGAGGCCCCTAGAGGGCATCAAACCTCCTGGAGCTAGACTTAAGGGGCAGTTGTAAGCTGTCTGACTTGAGTACTGGGAAGTTAAGTCTGGTCTTCTGCAAGAGTCGTATATGCTTCTACCTCCAGTGTCCAAATGGTCTGTCTATGCTACATTGCCTCTCTACCCATGTCTGTATGCCCTAATGTGGTATGCATGTGACAGACAGACAGCCCTTCAGCCCCCCTACCCCCAACCGCTGAAGCAAGTAGCTAACTGGATAAGAGTGTTTCCCGCTTATCTGGCTCCCCTTTGGGGCATGAGTTCTTTGAAGATAGAGATTCATTCTCTTGTGGGGTTTTTGTTTGGTTTTTTCACCCCATCCTGCATGGGTTGGTCCTGGAAACCTGACTGGAGCAACAAGGGAATGACGAGGGAACACACAGATCCAGGTACAGAAAAGCTGGGATCAGGCAGGCCATGCTCACTCTGATATACAACAGCCTGGTCCTCAGTGAGTTTATTTTGTATAGCACAAGGAGAGGATGTCTCTGTGAGTGCAGCCATGTGTATCTCTGTCCCTTACCTCAACCTCCGAGTCCTCTGACACTGCACCCTACCAAAGGTGTCAAAGGATTGGGGTCACGGCCCCTCCCAGGCTGCAGCCCTCCTGGAGGAGGAAGCTGCAGTTGCCAGGCTTTGCACACTGGTCAATCATTTATAAACACCTGCTTGGTCCAGAGGAAGGCGTTGCCTCTGAACTCACCTAGAGGAAGGCTCTGCCAGTTCCCATGGGTCTGAGGCCTTGGCCCTTGTCAATACAATGTGTTTGCTCAGGACTTCATCACCTCCCTACACATCCACGCAAGGCTTCCTTGGTTCCCCACAATTTTTGTTTGTTTGAGTTTTGTTTTGCTTTGTTTTTTATTTTGAGAAAGGGTCTCCTACAGCTCAGACTGGGTTTGACTTTATAGCAGAAGATGGCCTTGAACTACTAATTTCCCTGCCTCGCCTTCCCAGTGCTGGGATTTCAGGTGTGCACCGCCATCCCACCCAGTTTTCTACCATGCTGGAGATTCAGCCTAAAGCTAGGTAGTCCTTTTACCACTGAGCCACACCCCAGCCCCTCACTGGGGGATTCTAGGCAGGGGCTCTACCACTGAGCCACACCCCAGCCCCTCACTGGGGGATTCTAGGCAGGTGCTCTACACTGAGCCACACCCCAGCCCCTCACTGGGGGATTCTAGGCAGGGGCTCTACCATTGGGCCACACTCCAGCCCCTCACTGGGGGATTCTAGGCAGGGGCTCTACCATTGAGCCACACCCCAGCCCCTCACTGGGGGATTCTAGGCAGGGGCTCTACCATTGAGCCACACCCCAACCCCTCACTGGGGGATGCCAGCAGGTGCTTCACCTCTAAGCTAGCCCTCAGGCCCTCTGGCCCTCTTTCGTCTTTGATGTGTAACAACAGTTGTGTGAGTACCCATGGGGTCTTGGGGAGTGAGGATTGCTTTTCACAACTCTACTGTTTTCTCCAGACTTCAGGCTTCATTCTGTGTTATGTGGTGGGGGGGAGTTCATGCTCGTTTCCAAACTGTGACATGTTCAGTCATTGGACCTAACCCATGGAGTGGTGAGAAATATTTGTCTGAATCTCCTCCCAGGGAGGAAGCATCCTTGAGGAGGTAATTATCCCCGGTGCTGCTAGCTGCAAGTGTGGTGACATGTGACCATAGTCCTCAAGTTGTCATTCCTATAAACAGACCCGGAGGCCAGGTGTGGTGGCACTCAGGGACAGAGATGGCAGACCTTGTGGTCTACATAGCAAGGTCTAGGCTAGGCTAGGCTAGCCAGAGAGAGTCTCCTACACACATGCACAAAAACAAGTGAAGATATTGTTGCCACTGGCTGTTCCCTAGAGGGACCACAGATCTGTTCCCTGGGGACCCTTTGGTTGGCCAATAATAGCTGAGGATCTTCAGTTTGCATTAGAACAAGGAGGAAGGCAAAACAAAGGACCCTTACCACCTCCTGTCTTCCCTTTTGGTCCTCTTAGGGAGTGACATGAAGAGGTTCTTCCTTCACTGCTAATCCTCACAAGCACCCCGTGCCCTGATGTCTGATATTTTGTTTCTCTCTCTCTCTCTCTCTCTCTCTCTCTCTCTCTCTCTCTCTCTCTCTGTGTGTGTGTGTGTGTGTTTGTGTGTCTCACTGTTTTCTTACTTTTAAATTGCATTTTACTTATTTTGGTGTATGCCACAGTGCCCCTGTCAGGATCCGAAGACAATTGCGGGAGTCAGCGGGAGTCAGCTCTCTCCTTCCACTGTGAGGGCCCCAGGGATGGAACTCTGGTCCTGGGCTTGGTGACAAGCACCTTTCCCCACCGAGCCATCTCACTGGTGTGTGTTCTTTCTCTTCCTGCCCCCCTCTCCTTCCCTCCCTCCCTCACATACATGCATGCACGCACACGCACGCACGCGCGCGCACACACACACACACACACACGCACAACCTCACCCTGCAGCCCACACTGGCTTGAAGTTCTCACGCCTCCTGACTCAGCCTCCACAGTGGTGGCACAGTGGCGGGGATGACAGGCCTGCGCCACAGCCCACCTGCCTGTGCTCTAAGCCTTAGGTAGGCTTTTCCTGGGGCCTGGGAGCTCTGAACACAGGAGTTATTGTCTGATGCCAAGCCAGCTGCAAGGTGCCTTTGCCCTCGGGCTTGTTCCAAAGAGATTACCCAGCTGGATCCACCCGGAGTGTGCTGCCGCAGGCCACCCTGAGCGAAAGGGACTGGATGCCAATGCTCAGTTAAACAGTGGGGACATCTTTTTTGAAGATTGATTTTTGTTTTTTTTAATTGTGTATGTGGGGGGTGTGCACATGAATACAAGTGCCCACAGAGATTAGATTCCCCTGGATTTACAGGCAGTTGTAAGCCGCCTGTTGTGGGTGCTGGGGGGTCACACTCAGGTCTTCAGGAAGAACAGTTATGTGCTCTTAACCACTGCGCCGTCTCTGGCCCGAGTCATACATCTTAACACATCACCCCTGAGCTTCATTCCACGCCATCGCCAGACCCAAAGTCCACTAGGAGCCCAGAGATCTTTGATCTGTGTGTCTCTTTAAAGCGTGCGGTGTGGGGGTGCACACCCTTAATTCCAGCACCTGGGAGACAGAGGCAGGTGGATCCCTGTGAGTTTGGAGCTA